TCGAGGGTCACCAAAAGATGACCAGAAATATAATATATCATAAATTCTATAATAAAAATTTTAAGCAGAACTTTGAGGTTTGAAGAATATAAATAATAAATTCTCAGATTTAATAAAATTTAGTATTTATATTTCCAGTTTTTATTTATTAAAATAAAATGCATAGCTCGATCAAATTTTAAATAAATAAGTTCATAAGTTTTCAATTCAATTTAAAATTGAATGAAATATTTTTCCACAAGAAAAAAGAAAGATTAGTATTTAATTTACCAGTTTTTATACAGTTTCATTGTATTTATTTAAATAAACTGTATCTTTCGATCAAATTTTAAATAAATAAGTTCATAAGTTTTCAATTCAATTCAAAATCGAATTTTGAAATATTTTTCCACAAGAAAACAGAAAAATCATTATTTAATTTCACAGTTTCAATACAGTTTCATTGTATTTATTTAAATAAAATGTATCTTTCGATCGAATTTTGACCAGAGTCGAATTTTGAAATATTTTTTCCAGCTGAAAAGTCTTTTAAATATTATAAAAACCCCAAGACTACTCATTATACATATAAAATATTTGTAATCTAAGCAAGAACCTTTAAGAACCTGTTCCCACTTTAGGGCAATCCTTAATCCTTTGGCACAATACACCAAAAATCTAAGCAGACTCCGGCTTTTGATTTATATCCACTCACGGATTCAAACACGAGAGAAGACAAACATGGAACTGCATCTCGAGCACACAAAAATGATTTGATTTATTATGAATTTCGTTTTCAAGTTGAAAGTAAAAATCTTGAACTGCATTCGAGGCTATGCAGGAATCGGTTGGCCGGTTCGATCCCAGATCGACGACGACAACAATGCGAGCTCATAAATAATAATTTGAGAGAACAGAACCGAACGTTGGGTATCTAAAAAGACGAGGGCCGGCGGCCGGTCGGTCGAAACTGTAAAAACAGGTAACCTTCGAGATACAGATACAATGGCTGCTGCAGACAGCGAGACGTGGCTAAAGCCAAAAGTCATGTACTCCGACTCCGTCGGCCCAGCGACCCAGCGGCCCAGCGGCCCTGCGGCTTCGAGTTCAAAGTCGGATAATGGACTATGGAGATGCGTTTGCCGAGATATGCGCACCAAATTGCCACTGCGAAGGACGCATATTAATTTTTATGACCGTAGAAAATGACGATTGCATAACCGGCACCGCCAGCCAGGTGACTTCCATGGTGACTTCCTAATGGCCATATGATTTTTGCTGGAAATTCTCAAATTTTGCGACCTCGTGACAAGTGACAAAAAGGAAAAGTATCATAAAAATCTATCGTTTTGAAACAGCAGGTTTTCACTTTCGGTTTCGGGGTTCGTTGCTGTTTTTGTTGTTGCATTTTCAAGGACACTTTGGGCATTAAAAAATGGAATACCTTGGCAAATTTCTGGAAGGTGCTTAGCGAGCTTAGGTAGAGGCAGGCAGTCAGTGTGTGTTTCAGGAATTTCCTTTTGGGTGGATTTGTGAATTTTCATTTCGTTTCCTGTTTTTTTTCGAAGAGAGGAGAGTGTTCTGGCTGAGTGTTTTGGTTTTTTAGTTTTCGACTCTTTGAGTTTTGAGTTTTTGCGTTCCTTGTCGCATATCTCTTTGCCATAAATCATTGTCACCCGCTTCGGCGCAATGTCACTGCGAGCGCTTCCCGCTGGGTTTCTGGCCCCGACTCTGAGCTCTCCCCGAATCTGGACTCCTCACTCTGGTATCCTACCACGAACCTACCAAAAAATATATATGTATATTGTATATACATGTATAAAAAACAGTTCGAGGCGCTGACTGCTTTTTTGGGCTAAACAAAAAATAGTATAGCAACTCTTTGGCCCTTTCTTTCTGATTTTTACCATGGCCAAAAACGTATTCTGTAGTGGAAATTGCCACCCAAATCCTGTAGAGTTGGCTTTGTGTATCTCTACAGGATCTGCCAATAAAGTCCTTTAAAATGCAGCTGCACTGGTTTTGCAAAAAATATGAATATTAAGAAATATAATCAACATTTAATATAAACAAAATTTTATGAATGTCTTTTTAATACTCCTCAATAACATCTAAAAAAGTAGTATTTTTATAATATAAATATTTGATAGCTCCAGTAAAGGTTTTTGATTCAAACAATGGGATTTTTTATATAAATTTCTTTTGAATTTAATGAAAGTTTTCTCAATTCTTAGAATAATTTATTTATACATACAATTATATATAATTTTAAAGAAAAATAAAATAAAAGGTCTGTTGTTGTTTATCCAAAAAAAAAATACCCAAATGAATGGTATGGGTTTTTTTAGTTTTACCAATTTGTTTTTAAACCGAATTCAAAGTGCGTAAAATTTAATCTTAATAAATGTTAGGAAAATATTTTAATGATAAAACTAGTGTTTCTAAGAATCGTTCGAAGTCAATTAACAAGAAATACCGCAAGGCATCGTAGAAAATTAGAAATTTTAAAGCTAATTTTCGGTCCCTGAGAGGTTGAAACACACCAAGTCCGCCATTTCCGGCGGCTTGGCTTTATCAAGGTCCAGTTCTCCAGGGCCCAAAAATACGCTTGACTATCCCGGGACAAGGCGAAGCTATTTTTTTTTACGATCAACAACAATACGAAATCATTTCCAAAATGCCGTTTCTGGTCTTTTGTTTTTTTCTGTTTTGTGGTTGTGATGCTTTATGTGTGTGAAATTTCGGTTTTTATTTGAGCGGTTTTTTGTTTTATTTAAATTTGCCTGGGCTTGCATATGATTAATTAGCCGTTTCATGTCGCCATCTATCAATGGGGGCTTAAAATATAATATTAATTTCAAATGCAAACCAAACAAGTTTTCTTTGTTGAAGCTTTTTGTGTTGTGCTTACTTTATTAACAACAATTTCGTTAACTTTTGTTGCTTAGTTTTTTTTGTTTTTGTTTTTGGTCCAATCTCTGAGGTCGTGATTAATGTATTTACAAAAGAGTTGTCGCCATTTTAGTGCCGACTTATAAATCTTGACTGCGGCTTTGTGCCCATGAGTGTGAACTTGATTTAGAATCCGGTCAAAAAGGAAGTTGTTACTCATGGTTTGTTAAAAGGGAATTAAAGTTTTGGATGAGATGGAAACGGAATAGTTATACCGTAACATAAGGGATCAGATATTGCTTATTATAAGTCACTGAAAAAGTTTTTAGTTAGGGATTTATGAGATATATTAGTTAAAAAGGGCTTTTTTAAGGATATGCTCTATAAATTTATTTTAAAATAAATTTTGAATATTATTCAACTTGAAGAATGGAATTTTCCACCTATTTTTTAAACATTTTCTTTCAATATTTGACCACTGCCTCGTCGGTTACCTTTTTCCTTTGACATTGCACCATAAATCATAAAAGTTTTCGCCTGGCAGACAAAAACCGAGTTTATGATTTTGTCAGCTGTGTAACATTTCCAGCTGATTAAATCGATAAATTATGAGAAAATAATTCCATTTGATGCCAGATATTTGATTGTGCAAAAATCGAAGCTGGCAAAAATGCAAATGAAAATGTGTTAACAATAAACAGGAGGCAAAGGATATTCCACACAAAGTTCATTAAAACCAATTGTGCATATCAGCAACATATATACATATATATACATTCATAAAATAAAAAGTTCCCAATTTAAATGTTTATTAAATTAAGTATAAATCTCACCGATGGCTGCTGCGGCGCAAGTGCAATGAGAGAGAGTGAGTGGAGAGATGGCGGCAAGCCGAATGAGAGGGGCAGAGTGTGGCAGACAGAGAGGGCGACAAATATGCAAAGGCCAGACAACTAGGACAACAACAACATGGCCAACAACAAGGACAATGCACTGCAACAATGGCCGCATAAATTTTCTATGCGGAGAACCCGAGAGTGTCCTGTGTGTGTGTATGTGTGTGTTTTTGTGTTTGCGAGAGAAATGGCTGCCCTTTCCCACGATTCGGAAGTGAAACTATGTTGCCCAGGATATGTGCAATAATTCAAAAACGAATCCCAAGTTCAAAGCGCCCATTACTCGTGGCCAGTTCTCGTTCGGTTTGGAGCTCCGCTTTCAGCTTTCCCCTCCTCCAGCCTCAGTTCCCTGCGAGTCCCCCTTTTTGCAAATTTATGCAAATGGCTAATAAGCCTGTCAACAGTTTGCAGTTTGCAGCCCAAATGAGTGATGACCTGGCCGTAGCATCCGAAAAACGCTCTTTGAGTTATGAAGTGTTGAATCCGAGTTTGTGCAAAAAAATTTAACTTGGCCCATTGCACTTTGAGAAACTGATGGGAGGTCTTTTAGCTTTATTTTATAATATTTTTAAGTACATTTTTGTAGTGAATTTTTTATATTTTATGAGTTTAATTCATATGTATAATTTATATAATAATTATTATATTGCTTTAAACTTTAAAGATCAATATTTGTATGGTTTTTTTTAATTGAATTAAATTATTGGATTATTGTAATACAATTTTTTTTATGAACAGATTATTTTAAACCAAAATTTATCTTTCTAAAATATGAATTCCTTTCAGTCTTATTGAGGAACCTTTTAATTGATATATTAATCATCCAAAATTGTTAATTTTAATTTTTAATCCTTTCAAAGAAATGTATGTATTATATATTATATTTTATATCATATTATATTATATTTTATATTAGAATTATACAAAATAAATTATTATTTAATTCATCATAAAATTATACGGAATATGTATACAAATTTATATAGGAAATTATTCATAATACTTAGAAAATTAGGGTCTAAAACTTAATTTAATATGATTAGTTCCATTTTTTAAACCATGCTAAACATAATTTTGTTTAGTATTGCTTTTTAAAAGAGCTCTAAGCATTTGATGTATTTAAAATTAAGTTTAAGAAGAATAAATCTTATTGTCTTAACCTCCCACTTATTTGTTTTTCTAGCAGTGCTGCCCCTGCAAGGAAATTGAAAAGTCAAGCTCTACGGCACTTACCTTCTAAATCCAATAACGTGCGCTTATCCTTCAATCCTGTCGGCTTTTCTCGTATTTCTCAACCTTGCACGTGCGCCAAAATATAAAAACTTTGCCCGCAGTGGAAACGAAACTTTTTCTTCTCCTTTTTTGCTAGATATATATTTTTTTCTTTTTTATTTTTTGGCTGTCCTACGCTTTTCTGACTCTGTATTATTTGTTGTTGCTATTCGAGTTGGAAGAGTTAGCTGTTTTGCCTTGTTTGTTGTTGGTGTATTGGATATATTGCTCGATTTGCGGGGGACTAGAAAACGTTGTTCAGCAAATTCGCACTATATGTTTTTTGTGTAAGAATAGAATAATCACTTAGGCAGTAGGATTTGGCTTGATCAATTGGAACTTTCGGGTGTAGCACAGTTTAGCACAGATCCGCGGGAACCATTAAGTAATTGGTTATTGCACAATTTAATTACGGGACGAAATCCGGGACACTCAAAACGCGCGCGATTTTTGTTTTCCTTTAGGATTACGGCTACGATTACGATTATAGCGGTAAATGTAACGATTACTGGTAGCGGTTTCGATGGCGAATCCAACGTGTTCAGTGTCTGCGCCGTGCGAGGGCCAATGTGCGACTGATTGCGGTTCTAATTCTTTACGATTATCGTTATGATTATTACCAGTATTATTATTATTATTATGATCTGTCAATTGGAGCAAGTAGCGCCGGGGAAGAGAGCGCTGCGGAGCGACCGCGGCGGCGGAGAGCGAGCGAATAGTTAGGCTGGCGGCCCCAAGAAGACCGTTAGATTCTCGGATTCTTTCGGGATCCCTCTCTCGCACACACACTCGCAATCGGACGGCGGCTCGAGTGCTTTGTTGTGTGATGTTGATTTCTTTACGACTCCTATCAAACTAAACCCATAAAGCATTCAATTCAAAGCATATACATGTGAAAATCCCAGCGAGAACTCCTTATTAATCCGCCGGCGTCGGCAGAGCGGCAGTGCGGCGCGGCGTCGGCCATCGGCAGCGCAGTATATAAATAAAGTCTTATAAGAAACTCGTGAGCGGGAGAGAGCGTTTTATTTATGTGCCGCAGCGTCGGCAGCAACGCGAACAGCGGCGCAGGCAGTGACAGCCACAGCAGCAGCGACTGCGACGGTGACAGCGGCCGAGGCAGAGCCGGCGCGCTCTGGCCATAAAGTATTTTGCGAAAAAGAACCGTTCTGCTCTCATTGCCATTTGAGTGACTGAGCGAGCGAGTGAGTTAGCAGCTCTGCAGAGAACTTGACCGCGTGCTGCTCGCATTCTGGCACTCCCGCATTCTGGCATTTTCGCATTCCCGCATTCAATTCGCCTGCGTTCTTCCGCCTTGAGTCCTTCTGTTCCAAGGCTCAAAGGACAAGGAGTTTACGAGCCTTCATTTTTATGGGATTTTTATTTTTTATTTGACGGTATGTTTTTTAAATATTTATTTATTTTGGGTAGTCTTTATGAAGAGCCTCATGATCAGTAGAACAGTTTTGCAAACCTTTATGGATTTTATGTGTGGGTTAAAAAATAATTAACTATATTTACTTATAATAACATGTAAAAGGGAAATATATGTACATACAATTTATTCACAATATTGACAATGAATCAACGAATTTATAAATTTTTAAAATTAATTTTCATTTTTTATTCTCTAAAATATAATGTATCCTAACAATTACAACTTGTCTTTTTTTATACCAAAGTAATTCCTTCATTCTCTATAAGAATATTCGATTTTTCTTAAAGAACGTGTTCTCTAGGGTCTAATTTTTGTAAATAAAAATATAAGTTAAGTATCGGATCTATAATTTCTATAAAAAAAATAATGGAGAGTCTAAACTACAAATACTTTTATGATATATCATTAAGACAATTGACCTTTGATGCTGAAAATCAATTATTTATGGGTTTTATTTTTAAAGATCTAAAGAATACATTTTTGATTTTGCTGTGATTAAGTATTCATCAAAGAAAAATTATAGTATATTGAATATATTTATTAATTTTTTTAAATTGGATCTACTGTTTGTGTTAACCGGATGTCAGTCATACAAATAATATGTTTGTTTAATTTTATTGAAAAGTTCTATAATCTCCATAAAGAAAACTTTATTCTTATAACACCTATCCACAAAACTCCACAAATATCATAAAACTATTATAAGCAAGATCGAATCAATTTCTCCCCGAAGAATGATTAACCCATTGCCGGCTGATTTTGTCCTATTATCGCGTCATGATTTTTGATAATCGCGTAAATGATGGCCGCCGCCGCCTCTGTGCAATATGGAATCCAAGCCTCCACTTGCCGTCGGCAAAACAATCATGGCCGAGTTTATCACACGCACTCACACACGCACACGCCCGGGCAGGCCATCACTCACACGCACGTAAGCCAGCCACCCCAGCATCAGTTCTCTCGCTCGGCGCTCTCGCTCGCTCTCACTCTCTCACAGCTGTTGTTGAGGAGCACCCGGGGAAACAACAACATAACTTGGCCGACTTTGGGACACAGTCGCCGTCTCTGTCGGCGTCGCTGCCAGCGTCGTAAACAGGGAGGAGTCCGCCACAGACGCACACTCATAAAGCATTCTCAGCTGTCGGAGAGCCCACACACACAGAGACACGGACTGGCCGCAAGATGGATGGCGGCGCACAAAGAGAGCGCGAGTGCGAGCGAGAGGGCCGGAGGCGAGTGCGAGAGGGACGGCAAGATGCGGCCGCGTTAAGTGTGACGAATGTGCCATTATTTTGCTTTATGTGTGTCGTGAGCGTGCCGCGCTGCTCTTTTTTCAATTGCGATTTCTCACATAAATTTACGCAGTCGTCGGACGTCGACGCTGGCTGCTCTGCCGGCGTTGCAGTCAGCGCTGACAGCGATGGCGAGCAGAGCAGAGGAACCGCCTGGCCCCGGCAGAGCAGAGCGTGGCGTTCGGAGAATTCACTAGCGAAGAAGAGACCGTGTAGGGAACTTGGAGACTCTGAGTTTCCAACTGGAAAAGCACATTTGCCAGCGGCAAAAATACCTTTGTTATGTGCTTTCGATATTATGATTGAGAACTATGAAACATGCTCTTTTTTTTAATTTATTATTTCTTTATTTGTAATTTTTAAGTTTAAAGAATATATTTCTTGAATATTTTAATACCCAAAGACGCCCTTTTGCTACTTTTGGTTGTATTTATTTATGATTGTTTCTAATATGATTTATTTTAACTACTTTTTAAATCGAACAATATTTTATAAAATATAAAATAGGTCGCAAAAAAATTTTTTTTAATAATATATAATTTGAAAAATAAGAACTTGTCATTTTGCGCATTTAAACGAATATTTTTAATATTATATTTAATATATGATGAGATAACACATAATTCTTTTATCAATACTATTAATTTTTTTAATAACAACTGAAGAAAACTTGTATAATATTAAATAATAAAGTAAAGGCTTTATTAAATTATTTTTAATAAAAAAATAGTCAGATATTGGTCTTTTATAAATTTTTGTATGTGGAAAGACATTTTTGCTCTTCTAAAATCCAAACCTTTTTTATGAATTTCGAATATTTAAACTCTAAGTTAATTAAGTTAAATCGGATTATATTAGTGATTTCCTGTTTATATATATACATACATATTATATACATAATGTTTTACATATATACCTCTGATATTTTAAATTTGTACCGTCGAATCCCAAAAGAATTTTACACTCAATTATGTGCCGGCAATAAATATCAAGAAAACGGATGAATCGGTTTTAAAAGCACACTTGGCGCCCCCACCCTCTTACCACACCCCCCGACCTCCACCCACCCAGTGCCAAGCCATTCCAATTGGGACGTGGAACAGCCCCCACTTTCCCCCGTTAAATCCTACGCCGGAAAGGAAAGGTCCCATGGATGTTGTCCGTACGCATCGCTGCTCTTTGACAACTGTGCGACTCTAAATCATTCAATTCGGGCCAGGATCAGGCCCAGGCTCAGCTGGAATCGAGTGCCCGGCGGTGTCGGCGTCGGTGTCTCCTTGCCTTCGGGTCCTTTTTATACTGTCCCGGTGTTTGTGTGTGGCGTTCACCTTGGAAAATATTTTCACATGCCGCCGCCACAGACAATTCGCCCCAAAAGCCAGCATTTCCGCTTCGGCAAACTGCAGCAACAACTAAGAAAACAAGAAAGGTATATAAAGACTTGAAAATACCATGTAATTGGGATATAAAAGTATCTTAAAAGATAAGGGATCTTCCGAGGATAGAGGATCTTCCGATTTTAATTCAAAATCATGAGTAAATCAATTGAATAAAAGCTAATTTCTAACATAAGACTGTCAAAGATATAGCTACAAAAATGTTATAGTTCCTTGACTTGAACTCTATATTTTTCTTAAAATATATGTATATGCAACTGATATACCCCTCTAACTCCATGATTAACTGGTATTCAACAGCAGCAACAACTGGCTGAGGAGACAGCGCGCGTGCCGTTCAGCTGGATGGGAGATTTCAAAAACCCGGTCCCCTGTTCCTTCTTCCCAGTTCCCTGGCTTGTGGCTCTTTCCCCTCGAGCACTCCAGCAATTCCAGCAAATAAGTCAACCTGTGCTGGGAAGAGCCCAGCAAAAGCGACAACAACAACAACAACAACAGCAGCAGGAGTCCCCCCAAAAGTGATCGATGAAGTTGCCCGCCAAATTTACGACGTGAAACTTTGAATTGTTTCGCATGTCGGTTCGATTTTGCCATCTGCCAAAAGGAACTTCCCCAACTTTGTACCTTTGTCCCCGGAGTCCTGGCCCTTTGGAAACGAAAACCTGCATAAAGTAAGACCGAAAGCGAAGCTTCACCTTCCATTTCTTTGTTTTTTAAAGTATCTTTTGCATTTTCTGGTTGATTTTTAAGCGAATGTTTTCTACGGTATTTAAGCTCACCTTTACATTAATTGTATCTTTATGAATTTGTATCATTTTTTTATGTACTAACGTGGAAATTGTGATACGATGATCAGAATTAATTTTTTTATTCGAATGTCGATTGTACGATATCTTCAAAATGATAATAAACGATATATTTGTCGATTTGTCGTATTGAACTTTTTCTCTCGATAAAATATACATTTTTAAGGGTATCTATCAATAAAGTTGATCTTTAAAGACCAGTTAGTGACCTAATGCGACATCAGCTGCTAATAAACACTTAATAGATTGTCCAACATAAAGGTGACTTGGTTAAATCGTTATAAAGTGTCAAAGATAATTATAATCAAACTGATGAATTAAATTCCACTATGAAACTAGTTTTCTTGGCTACAATTTTCTAAGCGTTATGTCAGCAATCAGCTAGGTAGAATTATCATTTTAAAGGCCTTTTCTGTCGCTTGGCATGCAAACGGATAATCAGTCAAGTCGATCAGGTGAGTCAATAAATAAAGTCGAGCTCCGTACTCAGTGGGCTACCTGGGAGTTTACAGAAGTCGCGGCAAAAACAATGTGAATCTCGAGAGGTGGAACATGTGTACATATGACAACATTTTAATGGTCGTTTATCATATTTTGTCTCTGGTCTAAAGCTAATGCTAACATCAATTGCTTACACTGGAAGGAGTAGAGGATCCTTGACACTTGAATGTTTGCATGCCAGGAATATTTTGATTAAGCGCTGCCTTCTAGGACATATGTCTGCTTTGCTGTCTGTTGACATTGGAAATCTACTGGAAAATATTATAGATATATTAAAAGATTACAGTTAACTTAAATTTAAGAATTTTCACTCATTATTTAGTGAGTCAGAAGAACAACTTAGCTGTAGTTTAATATTTAATAAATATTCTTAAAAGTTTTAAATATTTTCTATGGAATTTAATCTTTAATTTCATCAAAAGAATTACTCAA